GGGATTTAGCTCAGTGTTTCGGTGGCCTGCCTTGCAAGCGCAAGGACTGGAGTTCAATCCCCTGTACCAAAAATAAAAAAAAAGGAAGAGGTTCCAGAAAAATGTAAAATATTATCTTACAGGCGCAGTAGAAAACAGCTTAAGCTGTTAAAGAGAATTCTTCTGATATATATATATATTTGTTTACTATAATTCTAAATCCAAATGTAAAAATCTAAATGTAGTCCTAACCTAAAAATACTTAGAATGTCGGATAGAATGGTTTGTAAAATATAGAGTTCTTCATACGCAGTGCTATTTTCTTTTTAAAGTTTGAGGTATGATCTCCTAGAAAAAGATTTGGCCCTAAGTGTTAATAAAACTAACACTTGAGAAGTAAATATTTTACAATCGTATTTTGATGCAAGTAAAATAACATTAATAAAATGAACCCCCCAAAGTACCTAAGGCTGTTTAAATATTTAGCATGGTAAAATTAATTCCATAAAATTATTGCTTAACAAAATAAAATATAATCATTAGTCTATTCTTCTTGCTAATGTGAAGTAGCAGTGTAATATGCACTGTCAGTGTTGGTGGTGTTTTTATTTGGTTTTTAATATGCTGTGTCCTTATACTTTGTGAAAGCCTCTAGCTTTCAATAATGAACAAGCTGATCTTGCTAAAAGGGAGAGACACAAGTAAAAGCAGTTATTTAAAGTAATAAACTATTAAATAACTCAGAGAAAAAAACTGAGGAAAAGCACAGGGTTTTTTGTTGTTGTTGTTTATCTATCTTTGCTTTCGTGTGTGTGCTCATGCACTCATGCACTCTTGAGTATCTAATCCAGAGCCTTTTGCTTGCTGGGCAAGTGCTCTACCACTGAGCTATACTCCTATCCCTTAAGCGCATAGATCTAAGGAACTGAGAACAGAGTCACCTAGAAGATAATGTTTTTACTGATTTATGAATTGTATGTTTGATTATTTTTTATTTGATATTCCTCTATCATATGGTAATTGTGTAAACTAGAAAAGGTTTTTCTCAGTATGTCATCAATGAAAATCATCTTGGAGGCCTCTACATTGAATCTACCAAATCTATATTTTTTGGGATGGAACCTGGACTCCACATTTTAACCAGCTCTCTAAGTTATTGTTATATGTTCTTTATGTAGAGAACTAAAATATGAAAATTACTGAAGTAGTTTAACTGTGTTTGAAGGTAGGTATATTGCTTTTCTCTAACTAATGACATACTGTTTTCAAGACCAAATTGAAAGTTACCCTTTTTGTTTCATTTTAGGCAGAATTGGTCGCTTATTCTTCTGTTCCTCCAGTGCCACTAATACTAAAACTAATTAAGGGTATCTCAGATGTCTAGTGCAGATTTAAACTTTAATAATTTCATATGTTAAAGTGCTAAAAACCTACAAAATATTATTTAAATTTTTATATCTGTTTGGCTTTATTTTAAATAATTATTTAATTTCAGTAATTATATGTGATAGTTTTTCAGACTAGTAAAAACACTTGTTCACATAAATTACTTTATCTCCTGAGCCTTTGTCTTGTGAAGTCATATCAAGATTGTGGAGCTGGGCGTGGTGGTGCACGCCTGTAATCCCAGCACTTGGGAGGCTGAGGCAGGAGGATCACTGTGGGTTTGAGACCAGACTGCCCTACATAGTGAGTTCCAGGTCACTCTTAATGACATAGTGAGACCCTGTCTCAAAAAACAAAAAAAAATAAAGTACACACAAAAAAGGATTGTGGAATATGTACCATTACTTCATTTTTTAAATAATCTTAAATCTAGGAGGATTATCTTTTCAGTCCCTGTGCCTCAGCTGAGAAAAGTTTTTATATAATTTGAAATTTAATTAAAGCATTGTATATTATACTTGTTTTGAATTTTAATATTTTAAAAATATACATGATTGGCCTTTCATATATATTTGCATAATTTTTTGGCATTTATGCTTCTCTATTTCTTAAAATTTAAAATTGCATAAAGCCTTAGATTTCTGTCTCATTTTCACGTATTTATGTGAATGCCTATCTCCTTAAACTACATTTCTCTAAGTTAGCAGCCATGTTTTATTTATCTTTGTATCCCTAGCAAAATTGATTAATATTTGCTGAATCAATAGGAATGATATATCTATTAGATATTGTCCATTTCAGTACACTTAGTAACATTAAAGTATGATTAAGCATATTTCAGTTATATGCATATGTTTTAATTTTAATATTGCATTGGATTTATTAATATAGTTAATATTTCACAGTATTGGCTATGTTTCCACTCATTGTTAAGATTGTCCCATTTTTAGCCAGTGCTAATGACTTCATGCTGACTCCTAAGCCTTACTGGCACAACTCTAGTGGTCTTTGGTAGCTTCCTTCTTTCTTGTATCACAATATAATCCAAGCTCATCTTATACATTTCCTATTCCAGATCTGGCATCAGCCATTTTCCAAGAAGGCCTGGGAGATTATATTTCAAGACCAGAAACTGTGGGACATTCATTAATACAAGTTGGTCATTGTTCCCATGCCATTTCAGTGGGCTGAGCTAAGAAATATGTACATACGCATGTATATACGTACATAATATATCAATAGTGTCTAGAGTTTTCACTTTACTTCGGCAATACATATGTATCTGCCCTTTCCTGTAATAAAATACTGCTCTATGACAGGAGTGATAGGATGATAATCACATAATTTTTTTTGTTGTTTCATATTATAGAGTACACACAACAGATTCAGCAGAGCAATAACACTACTATCTACAAACAGTATGATTACTGAAACAGTGTCAGATTATTTTCATAATTCTTTTTGTTATATCACACGGGAGATGTACAAGTAAAATATATTTTGACTTGAACTCGTTACTTCCTGTATAATTATTATAACTTTAGTAGGATATACATTTAGATCATATTTATTTCTTTCCTTGAGGGGAATTCCTTTGAAGGTTGAATAAGGAATTAAATCTCCTGAGAATGTTTAATTATATCTTTTGATTTCATGAAGGCAGGCAAATAATGAAACTTGCATCCACTACAGCTAAAGCAAGCTGTAGAAACAGCATTGGGAATCTGGGCACCTTTCCAGCTTTTCCCAAATCGTTTATTCCCGATGCAATTGTGTTTGAAATTAATTTCTTTAATATTAAACTCTTCCAAATTCAGATGTACGTATAACTGCACTTCACAAAAATAAATATATCTTCACCTTGGCTCCTCTATGTGCATAATTCATAATTATTAAGTTGCCTTTGTATAAGCATATGCAGACACAGATGTGACTGTATTTGTAACAAACTTTTCCTTTGGCACGTGAACATGGTCAGAAAGGCAAGAATTATTATTTCTGTGAGTTTCTGAGGTGTTTCAGAACTGATTTTTACTTATAAAAATCTGCCCTTGGTTTAAATAATATATGCCTCTGATGTTAATATATACTTCACCTCTGACATGGTGTTATAGGAGAATATTATTATTGTTGTTGTTATTAAGACGTGAAATAAAGCTATTTTTATTAAAATTAAATTTAGGGAAAGAAATGAAATGGACTGTCATTCCAATTTTAGTATATGTGTTCCCAAAGCGAGCACTAAATCGCAGTAGTGTAAAAAAATACAGATTTTTTTCAAAACTTGCCAAGTAATAGTTAATTTTGCATTTTGAGGTAAATATAATTTTTAAAAGATTAAAGTGGTGTAGAACAACCATAATGCAGAGCTAAAGCATATTTATCACTTTCCATATGTCATTCTCTTTGCTGGGCGATTTATCTGTTTTTTCACCTTAAATCTTATAATAGTCTTATTGGGTCACTACTAATGTATGTCGTGCCCATTTTATAAATTTCTTTAACTAAACAACAGAGACATTGTTACTAAAAAAAAATCACTTTGTTAGATTGCTGCTTATTGTATAGTAAGCAATTACAGGTAAACTAATGACTTTTTTAAAATTTAATTTTACGGAGTCCAATTTAAGTGGTAACTTTAAACTTGGTATTTATTATAGGAGGTATTAATTTAAAATATGTAATATATACTTAGTAACTTGAAATTGTTGAAAATGTAAAAGTATGAGATCTTGGTATAATTACTTATGTTAATGTTTTTAAATATTCTAATCTGTAAGTGTTTGAAATAATAGATATTTTAACAGTATGTCACAGTAAATGTTTACAATAAATGATTACAATAATTTTTAGTACTACTTTTTCTTTTTTTTCTTGTTTTTTAAAATTAATTTTATTGGTTCACTTTAGATATACGCAATGATCACATACATCATAGAGAATTTGTACCTGTAAATAATATATCTTGATTAGCTTGATTCTTCTTTTTTCTACAATCCCTTCCCCTCCCTTGTGTATGTTGAATCATCCCTGCATCCCTAGGATGAAACCTACCTGGTAATGATGTATAATCTTACTGATGATTTGGTGCATTCTGTTTGTAATGGTCTTCTTGAGAATTTTTTATTAGGGAGAATGTCCTGTAGTTCTCTCTTTTGTTTGGATCCTTCTCTGGTTTTGGTATCAGGGTAATTAATGCTTGCTTCCAGGAATGACTTTGGGAGTATTGCTTTCTTTTCAGTTTCATTAAAGAGTTTGAGGAGTAGTGGCATTAGTTAATCTCCACATTTCTTGTAGAATTCAGCAGTGAATCCGTCAAGACCTGGGCTTTTCATTGTTGATAGTTTTTAATTACATTTTCAACGAAAGTGTACTTAATGTACATTTAATATATACTTTATTATGTAAATTTAAAGTTGGAAAAATTAGAAAGTATACTTAAGCAAAAAATAAGGATATTTTCACTAACTGACCATCCAAGATAACTACTGTTAATATCTGGTAAATAGCTCTACACATTTTTCCCATTCTTATTACTATGTTTACTGTAAACAGATTTTTTCAAATTATCAAGAACATATTTTTAAAGGAATGCTTGGTTTTTTGAACCTAAAGTATGTGTTTCTCTTTTTCAGGACTGTACTGTATATGAAACAGAGAATAAAATTCTTCATGTGGTATGTATAACTGGATTCATTTTCATCTCCTATACAGAATTGTTTTATTTAAATAGTAATTAAATAAAAGTCTACAGCTTATAAAAAAGTAAGCAATAATAAAAAATTCTGTGGACCATATCTGTTAAGCACATTTTTAGGAAATATACAAAAGAACCCTAGTATATTAGTTTCATGTTTATCATAGGATTCTGTTATATCTAATAGACAAACATGTAATATTTGAAGATTGTAATATGTAGCATGGTTGGAATTTAATAGACAATTGAGAAAAAATAATTTGAAAATACAAATTTTTAACTATTGATCTGTGGCAAAAAGATGTCAGAGGGAGGTATTGTATTCTACGATATGAGCAATTTATCTCTATCATTTGGATAAAATACTTCATAAGATCATCACACTTGTTCTCCTTTGATTTTATACTCATTAAACAACCTTCTAATTGGTAATTTGGTGATATTTATTGAATCATTTAATGACTGCTGATATTTTATTTGAACTGGGATATGAGTACATTATATATTGTGAAAAGGCATCTCCTTTGTTTTCAATGAACAACTGGCTGCTTTGTGTTTAAATCCATTTTTTGGTCAATGGTACTCTGTCGTAGCATCTTTTTCACTTCTGGTGTGAAATTATGGCACTTTGCAGCTCTCCAGTACTAGATGGTTAAGATCTGTATTTCTTGCCTATTTTATACATGTAGTTCATGAGTTATATGTGTCTGAAATGTTTGAATATTTATACAATAATATTTTAAATTTGAAGAGGAAACATTTAAAAAACATCTAAATCCATAGGGGGAAAATACTAATTCAAGGTTTCAGCAGTGCAGTAATACTGTTCTTCTATGTTACCTGCTACATAACTAATATTGAGTAATCCTCTTCTCATTATGCAGCAGTAATGGACTTGGTGATTTATTAGTATGGCCTGAGAAGAGTATACAGTTAATATATTCTTCTGCTTGGTAGTCTAGGAAGGAAAGCAATTACTATCACCCCCTTTCAATCTGCAGAATAGAACCTGATATTTATTTAGGGTTTATATATTCTATTTGTTTAGGTTCTACAAATATATTGTAGGTTGAACATCCCTGTTCAAAAAATCCAAGATCCAAATGCTATAAAATCTGAAACTTGCTGAGTTCTGCCATGATACCACAGGTGGAAATTCCATACCTGTATAAGGATATTGTTTAAAATGCCAAAAGGAATTGCACATACCTCTGTGGATAACAGTGAAAGAAAAAGAAGCATTTATGTTAATTTGTACCACAGAACATTAAGCTGTTGAAGAAGCTGGAAAAGCGTTGTACATGTGAAACCTCTTCCGGGAAAGTACAGTATTGGAATGACCTGAAGAAAGAAGAATAAAGTGCTGAAATTCTTTGTGGAAAGTGATGCACAGAAGTTAATGAAAACTAGAAAACCACTGCAAAATGTTAAAAATGAGCCTCCAATTCATTCATTGACCGATGTTGAAATAGCCAAAATAGTTCTGAATCAAGATTATCATGGTAATAGCGACAATGAAAACAAGTGTTAATACTACCAAAAAAATGCCTGTACCTGACATGGTGAAAATGTGCAATGAACATATTGAAGGACTAGAGCAGTATGCATTTATAATAGAACACAACATCATGACAGTTTAAAATCAAAGAGAAATTTCTAAGTCAAAAACCTATTGTTGGGCCAGGGATGTAGCTCAGCAGTATAGCACCTGCCTAGGAAGCTCAAAGCCCTGAGTTTGATTCTCAGTACCAAAAAAAAAAAAACTATTGTTAATGAGGCAGATGACTGTCTGACAAAATGTTCTTCATCCCTAGAACACCTTCTTCCTGGTCCTCAACTTCTTCTGATGTTTCTTCTCGCCTAGAATAATAAAGTACAGTTTACAATAACCTTTAATCAAATACAGCATCATATGTGGTAAATGAAATTGCTATTTGTTGTTGCTGCTGGTTAACAACTGATGCAAATATTTTAATGATGCTTAACTATGCTGCATAGTTACTCTGAACACATTTAGTTCATTGTATCAATAGTGCATCATTTTATTATTAAATTCTTATGGGAAAATAGGTGTAAGAAAATTGTTACATATTAGTAGCATATAAATTTAGAATTAGGAGTGGAGGTGATGACAAATGACTACAGATTGTCCACATGAGTGGCTGAAATAGTGACACCTTTTTTTTCAATGTTCACAAACTTTTTCATGAAGAAAATTATTTAAAATATAATGTGAAATTTACTTTCAGGCTATGTATATAAGGTATACATGAAACATAAATTAATTTTGTGTTTAGACATGGGTCATGTCCATAAGATGTCTCATTATGTATAAGCAAATATTCCAAAATTCAAAATACTTCTGCTTCCAAGTATTTTCTTTTTGTATTAGAATATGTTTGTAAAGCAGTATTTAAATTTGTTTGATGGAATTATTACAAAAAACACAATGAGTAAGGGATACGCAATTTGTATTTCATTTAATCCTGATTTTGCAAGTGGTGAGACCTTTGGCCTTGAATATTAAGCTATTTTAATGTTTGAACAGAGATCTGATACCAAAGTACATTCCCTTTAGATATCTGGCAGTTGCTTCCAATCTGTTTGGTACTGTCTTAATTCCTATGGAACTCAGGCTTGCTATCTCACTGTGCCTGTTGTTTCAATAACTAAGGAACATGAAAGACCCTTCTCTTCTTACATTTTATTTCCTTTGAGTGACTGATCCATTGGCATTGAATTGTCTATGACAGTAACTTGCTTCTGAAATAATGAATTTGCTGAATTAGACATTGGCATGGTGCTGTGGGTTTTTCATTGTATTTACTTCAAGTCAATTATTGAGGTCAGTGTATGCTACTGATTTCTCTTTATAAAATTTCTCAGGAGTAATCTCTTTTCTGTGGTTTGTATCAAAAAAGTGCTGTACTTTTCCTTATGCATTGGTAGTTAGAAACTTAAAGTACAAATAGTTGGGAAATTCATCTTATGGTATTCCTCTTATATATTAATGTTATTCTGTGCTCCAATATATATCCGTGATTTCTCTTTGCCTTAAGTTTCTCATTTTATGTATCATATATATTTTTACATTTGTTGATATCTTTTATATGGAGAAATAGCACTTATAGGTAATAAATGCATATTTGTAATCAATATTGAAATGTTAGCAAAGGAATTGTACATAGCTCATGGAAAGAGAATCTGTAAGAGGTTGCAAAAATTAACACATTTTATTTTTTAAGAAAATTTAGATTGTACCATGTAACAGAACAGAAGTAAACTTAAATGATAAAAGTACAGTGGAATTTCTGTTGGACAAAATATCTTAAATATAATTTCAATTATTTATGCTAAGGAAATAAGCTCTTTGATTATGCAATGATGTTTTAAATTTTACTTAAACCATAATATCAGATTTTAAGTAATTTTTAAATCATTTAAAATATTTTTAATTTTTAAATAATTTTTAATTTCTAAAATTCTTAGTGACTCAAATCATTAGTCTATAATACTTCACTTCTCTTTCTTATATGACAGATTCTGAGCACCTAGGTATTAGAAATGAGTGACAACACAACTAAGAGTGAAGATGTACAGAAGTGAATGTCATGTTTACCTTGGACAATTTTGCATTCCAGAAAATGAGAATTTAATCATGATAGTGAAGATAGTGGATGACATTTATATGACAGTTCAACTCAGAAAACATTTGCACTTACATGTTATTATACTGGCCTCTTTTTGCAAAGATAGTCCAGCCTCCACTAGAAGATTATTGTATGTTTTCATGTGTGTTAATTTTCTCAGAATAAGAATTAAGTGTTTAAAATCATGAAATAGTACAATGGACCACATGGAAGATGATGGTAGAATACTTTAATACAAAGATTTCAGAGCAGTAATCTTTCCATATTTCTTAGTGTATAGAAGAAATCACTTTGACTCTAAAAAACAGTACCTGAATGCTAGTTCTGTACTCAGTGATTTTTCAAGTGATTTAACTGTTTTGGGGATTTTGTTCCTAATATGACTATTAATATCTTTTGTGTATCATTGTTGCTAGGAGAAAATTGATAGATTCTTGTGAACAGAGTTGTATAATCTGTTCCAATAGTTTTTATTATTAACATTTATTTTATTAGAGTTTCTTATTTCTTCTCCTTCACACTTCATTATATACACCAGAAAATAAAAAGCCTGAGTTTTAGTACAACTTGTTTAGTATAAACTGTGAGTTAATTTGAGTAGTCTCCTTGTTTCTATGATAGTTGGATAAGCAAAACAAAGTATCAATTATAATAGCTCCATTTGAAAGATGGGTTTATATATTTGATAGGAGCCTGAATTCTTTCTAGAAAATAAAACCTCTGGGAAAATCTCAAAGAAGGTAGTTTGTTGATTGGTGATGCCACAGCACAGAAGTGACACTGGAAGAGGAAATCAATATAGATTTTAGAGTTCTACACCACCGTAGAGAACTAGAGTTCTATCCCATCACGACCTTCTTAGGAGCCCTGAAAAATGTGCCTCAGAATTGTCTAGCCCCCCTGCCAAACAGTGAAGAGAGAATATTTATGTACTGGCTCTAAACCAGTTCTTCTATTGGTCAAAGGTTTCTCTTTGGGGTGTGAATCTCTCACCATACCAGGTTTCTGAATGCATCAGAGTTCTCCAGGGCAGAAAGCAAAGGTAGTGCAACTAAAGTGAAGTAGACTGGCGTGACAGTAGCTTGAGAGAAAATGGACTTGAAAGAACATGACATGGGGCCTAAGAACTACCTAGTTTAGTGAAACACACCATTATATGTCTTATTTTCATGCTTCCATTTCAAAAATAAAATAAAACATATCTACTGGTTAGAATTTATAAAAACCAGTTTTCCTTGAAGAACTTATGGAGCTTTGGGAAGAAAAATCAATAGGTCTCCTGCGGCATTTCAAATTTTGAAGTAATTTGAATTACATGTGTTATCAAAAT